GCAGGGAGCACGCCGTCGTCAGCCGGGTGGCACGGGTCTGCGTGGTGAGACGCCAGTGGCACCGCAGGGGATCACCCCTGGGCCTGCTCGGTGCCTGTTTTTAGGGACAGAGGTCCTGGGATGGGTTTTTGTAGCGGTGGCTGTACGTGGAAGGTGGGGCAGAAGGCTGGCGGGTGCTCCCCACCCAGGGGGCTGCCGAGGGGCTGTCTGCTCAGTCGTAGCAGTGGCCCTGACGCTCCCCGTCCCTGCAGAATGACGCTGGAGGCCAGAGGGTGCTGGTCAACAAGTGGAGCACCTTCAACAAAGCCCGCCTGGTGTGTTCTGTCCCCGGCCCCGGCGGCATCGACACCCACTTTGACGAGCTGGGTAAGGGGTGGGGAGCACCCCAGGGACCCCGCGGGTGCCTCTCCCTCGTTTGGTGGCTTTGGGAGGCTCCTGGGCCACCAGCGAGTTCCAAGGCTTGGGTTTCTCCTCCCCAGAGGATGTCTTTTTGCTGAGGACAAGGGATGGGAAGAGCCCGGAGATCTACGCCCTCTTCAGCACCGTCAGGTGGGTGGCTCAGCCCCAGCCCCAGCCCTTGGGGACACCCAGCCCTGGCCTGCCCATCGCCACCGATGGGATCTGATCTCCCTTCGTTGTCCCCTTCCAGCCACGTCTTTCGGGGCTCTGCTGTCTGCGTCTACCGCATGGCCGACGTCCGTGAAGTCTTCAACGGGCCCTTCGCACACCGCGAGAGCCCCCTCCACCAGTGGGCAGCCTACGAGGGCCGCGTGCCCTACCCCCGCCCAGGCGTGGTGAGCGGTCCCTGGGGGGCTGATCCCCCTCCTCCAGGGCGGGGGGCGATGGGGACGAGCCCCCCTTGCCCTATTGGGGTCCCGATGGGGTTCCTGTGGGATCTGCCCAAATGGGGTCCCTCTGGGATCCGCCCCGAGGTTCCTCTTTTGGGGAGGAACCCAAACAGTTCTCACCGAGTGAATGGGGTCCCTCCTGTCCCCACAGTGCCCCAGCAAGACCACCAACCAGCCCCGGCGGCCCTACAGCACCACCAAGGACTTCCCCGACGAGGTGCTGCACTTTGCCCGCGCTCACCCCCTCATGCACAAGCCCGTGCGCCCGCGGCACCGCCGGCCGCTGCTGGTGAAGGCCGACCTGCAGCACCGCCTGCTCCAGCTCGTGGTGGACCGCGTGGACGCTGAGGACGGGCAGCACGACGTCCTCTTCTTGGGGACAGGTAAGCGGGGCAGGCAGGGCGGGCAGCACGCAGGGGATGGGTGCCAGGGTGGCCCGCGAGGGCGGGAGGTGGCGTCTCTGTCCTCCTCCTGGCAGATGCGGGCTCGGTGCTGAAGGTGGTGGTCCTGCAGAAGCCCAACTCGGCCGGGACCGAGGAGATCGTCCTGGAGGAGCTGCAGGTTTTTAAGGTGAATTTTGCTGCGAGGGAAGGGAGCGGTGGGGTGGGCACTGTGGGTGCGGGTCGGGGATGCATCCCTCGGCTGGAGGGATGTCACCGTGCCGCTGGGCACCAGGAGGGTTCCTGTCTTCCCCTTCCCCGGGGTGGCAGAGGTGCCCACCCCCTCCAGGCTCCAGCAGCCAGAAGGGGGGAATGCGCAGCGTTTTCTCCCCCACACGCTCTCCTGGTGTCCCCCAGAGACCCCCCATGCCCAGGGCTCCCTGGGGAGAGGCTCGGTCCGGCCTCATGCCTGCCTCCCTCTCCTGCAGGCACCCGTGCCCATCACCCAGATGGAGATCTCCGTCAAGCGCGTGAGTCCATTCTCCCTGGGGCTGGGGGCGAGGGTGGGTGGCCAGGAGGGGCTGTGCAACTGTGGGGCCGGGTGTCACCGTGTCACCCCTGTGATGCTGCTGCCCCCCAGCAAACGCTCTACGTGGGCGCCAGCCTGGGGGTGGCCCAGGTGCGGCTGCACCAGTGCGAGAGCTACGGCACCGCCTGCGCCGAGTGCTGCCTGGCCAGGGACCCGTACTGCGCCTGGGATGGCACCGCCTGCACCCGCTACGTGCCCTCGGGCAAGCGCCGCTACGTGCGCCACACCAGCCCCGTGTACCAGTGTCTGGACCAGAACCTGACCGGTGAGAGGCTTGGGGTGAAGCCACCCCAGCCCGCGGTGCCCCCCAGGAGAAGCTGGGGGAGCCCGGGGAGCTCTGGTGGTGGTGGGAGACGGGCGCTTCGGCCCCACAGAGTGCCCACTTCTGTCCCCACCACGCGCGTGCCTCTGTCTCTGCCCCAGTGGATGATTTTGAGCACGTTGAAGAGAAGGTGCTGTACGGCATGGAGCACAACAGCACCTTCCTGGAGTGCGTGCCCCGCTCCCCGCAGGCCAGCGTGCAGTGGTTCGTGCAGAGACCCCCGGATGAGCAGCAGGACGAGGTGAGACCCCAGCGCCTGCCCTTCCCCTTCCTTCCCCTCCTCGTTCCTGCCAAGAACCCAACCTCACAGCCGTGGCCGCCAGGTGAAGACGGACGAGCGGGTGCTGCAGACGGAGCGAGGGCTGCTGTTCCGCCAGCTGCACAGCCGCGACGCCGGGCTCTACTCCTGCAAGACGCTGGAGCACGGCTTCACGCAGACGGTGGCCAGGACGTCCCTGCGGGTGCTCAGGGGCGAGCAGCTGCCCCGTGCCTCCCCCCGGCAGCGCGAGGACGAGCGCCCACCCTGCCCGGAGCCCCGGCAGGCAGTGCCAGCTCCCAAAGCCTGGTTCAAGGACATCCTGCACCTCGTCAGCTCGGCTGACCGGCAGCGGGTGGAGGAGCAGTGCCTGCGCCTTTGGTGTGGCCACCGCAAGGGCAAGTTGGCCAAGGGCAAGCTCGCCCTGGCTGGCTTGGATGCGGGCAAGAAGGGGCGCACGGCCAAGCCCCAGAGCGAGAGGATCCGCGTGCCCCGGCAAGCTGCGGCCACTTAGAGCAGGGGACCTGTCCTCGAGCTGCACAAAGTCCTCCCGGCCCCAGGGCTGGCTCCTGGGCAGGTCACTGTCACCTCGGGGGCTGCAGAGCCACCTCCCAAAGCGGGGCGTGGGGGAGATGCGATGGCACTGGGCCCCTCGCTCTTGCCAGGTGCCACCACTGGTCGCCTCGGGTGGGTATGGAGCCACGGTCACTGGGGTGGCAGTGACCCCGGGGAGCTTGCTGGCTTTCTCTGCAAATAAACGGGCCGAGCACAGCGCCAGCCCCCTCTTCACCCGTGGGGTGTCCAGGATCTTTCCACACTGCCAGCCTGGAGCCTGGGACAGACACTTGCTCTCGGGGGTAAAAACTGAGCCCCGTCGGCTGGATGGGGAGGCTGGGGCCACACTGGGATGGGTGCAGCGGGGGACGGGGGCTCTCACGGCACAGCCCCTGGCCCGAGCCCAGCCTCTGTGCTGGGAAGCAGAGCGGCCTTTGTATGAAAGGGGAAAAGCAGAAGCAGGGCAGGCACGGGGCCAGCGCTGCTGCTCCCGTTCCTGGAAAGGGATCGCAGGCTCATCCCCGGCCCCGCTTCAACCCCTCATCTTGCCCCCAAGGGAAAACACAAACTGTTTAGGGGCTGGGCAGGGTCAGGGAGGGTGGCAAACGGCTGCGGGTACCTTCGATCCATCCCTGGGTAAACATGGGAGAGGCTTGGGGTAAGGTCCCGCAGCCGGGGAGTAACTGCACCAGGACGGCAGGGGGCATGGGCAGAGGGGGCGGTGGGTTTTGGGGGCGGCTGCTGAGCCCCAGGGCCTCCCCAAAACGCAGATCTCTGCCCTGCTATGGGTGCTGCAGGCCGCTGTGGGTGAGGCACTCGCCTGCTGGGAGCTCCGGCAGTCGGGCTGATAAGGATCTCCCCTTTCCCCGGGCAGCACGGCCCCACACAATGGTGTGAACCGCGGCCCCGCCGGGCCCGGCATTGTTCGAAGGCAGAGGAAGGGGAAAGAAAATAATAATAATTAAACCCCAAAATAGCTCGCACAAAGCCCGGGCTGGGTGATATCATCGCTCCTCCCTTACGAGCACTGGTGCTGCAGCACAACGGCTGCGTGCGGTGCAGCGCCTTTGGTGGGGGCAAAGTCCCCGGGTGTGCTGCCTGGCCCCATGTGGGGCTGTGGGGCTGGGCTGTGGGACTCAGACCTGTGTGGGGCTGAGCAGTGGGACTCAAACTTGCGTAGGGCTGAGCTGTGGGGCTGAGCCCTGCATGGGGCTGAGCTTTGGGACTCAGACCTGTGTGGGGCTGAACTGTGGGGCTGAGCCATGTGTGGGGCTGAACTATGGAACTCAGACCTGTGGGGCTGGCCCTAGTGGGACTGCAAACCTACATGGCTGAGGCTGTCAGGACCTGTGATTTCAGACCGGTATGGCCGAGCCTGCATTGAGCTGAGCTGTGGGACTCAGACGTGTGTGGGGCTGAGCCACCTATGGGACTCAGACCTGCGTGGGGCTGAACTGTGGGGCTGAGGACAGTGGTGTGGGGGCTGAGCTGTGGGACTCAGACATGTGTGGGGCTTAACTGTGGGACCCGATCTGCTGTGGGGCTGAGCTGTGAGATCTCAGAAGTGCATGGGGCTGAACTGTAGGACTCAAGACCTGTATGGGCCGAGCTTTGGGACTCAGAACTGTGTGGGGCTGAACTGTGGGACTGAACTGTGGGACTCAGACCTGCAGGGGGTTGAGTTGTGGGGCTGAGCACCTAAGTGGTTGAGCTGTGGGGACCTCAGACCTGTGGGAACTCAGACTTTAGTGGGGCTTAGTTGTGGGACCGGACTGTGGAACTCAAGACCTGGTGGGGGCTGAACTGTGGGGCTGAGTGGTGTGGTGGGGCTGAACTGTGGCACTCAGACCTGTGAGGCTGGGCTGTGGGACTCAGACTTGTGTGGGGCTGAACTGTGGGGCCGAGCCCCGTGTGGGGCTGATCCCCCCTCATGGGGCCGCCCCTCAGCCTGTGCCCCCCCCCCCCCCTCAGGGGCCTTTCTGTGGCGCCGCCTCCCGCGCCCGGCGCTGGCGGCGCGGTGACGTCACGCGGCGCGCGGTGCTGACGTAAGGGGCCGGGGGAAGGAGGAGGAGGAGGAGGAGGAGCGGGGGGGGGCCCGGAGCGGGGCCGGGAGGCGGCGGCGGGGCCGGACGGGACATGGCGGCACGGGCCGGGCCGCGGGAAGATGAATAAGGGCTGGCTGGAGCTCGAGAGCGACCCCGGTGAGGGAACGGGGGGGGGCTCTGAGGAGGGTGGGGGCCGTGAGGGGGGGGAGTGGGCCTATGGCGGGAGGGCCTGTGAGGGGGTGTGAGGGGGTGGGGGGGCTATGGGGGGGCTGTGAGGGGTTGGGGTGGTTGTGAGGGGGGTTTGGGGGAGTTGGGAGGGGTGTGGGGGGCTGGGAGGGGCTATGGGGGGTCTGTGAGGGGTGGGGAGCCTGTGAGGGTGGGGATTGAGGGAGTGTGGGGGGGCTGTGAGGGGGCTGTGGGGGGGAGATGGGGTGTGGGGTCAGTTTGGGGTTTTGAGGGCCATGAGGGGAGTGTGGGGGGGCTGTGGGGGCTATGAGGGGTTGGGGGACTATGGGGAGGGCTATGGGGGGGTTGAGAGGGGTGGGGAGCCTGTGGGGGGGGGGTTGAGGGGGTGTGGGGGGGCTGTGAGGGGTAGGGGTACTGTTTGGGGTTTTGGGGGCCGTGAGGGGAGTGTTGGGGGGCTGGGAGGGGTTGGGGGGGCTATGGGGAGGGCTATGGGAGGGGGGGCTGTGAGGAGGGGGGGGTTGAGGGGGTGTTTGGGGGGTGGGGGGGGCTGTGGGGGGGTGTGAGAGGTGTGGGGTCTGTTTGGGGTTTTGGGGGCTGTGAGGGGAGTGTGGGGGGCTGTGGGGCTGGAGGGATTGGGGGGGATATGGGGAGGCTGGGAGGGGTGGGAAGCCTGTGGGGAGGGTTGAGGGGGTGTGTGGGGGCTGTGTGGGGGCTGTGAGTGTTGGCGGTGCTGTTTGGGTTTTGGGGGCTGTAAGGGGAGTGTTAAGGGGCTGTGGGATTGAGGGGGTGTGGGGGGGCTGTGAGGGGTATATGGGGGGGCTGTGGGGGGGGTTGTTTGGGGTTTTGGGGACTGTGAGGGGGGTGTATGTGGGGAGGGGGTTGTTTTGGGGGGGTGCTGTGGGGGTGGAAGCACCTCCAGGCCTCAATCGGCTCGGGGGAGAGGCCGTGGGGTGGGGGAGGCACAACAGAGCTGAGGGGGGGAGGGAGGTGGGAGGCAGGGCCTGAGTGCTGTCAGGATGCCCCGGGGGGGGCTCCGAGCCTGGGGGGGCTCTGCGGGGTGCAGCTGGGGTGTGCCACGGTGTGGGATGTCGCTGGAGCTCCTCGGTGCTCCGCACAACTGCCCCAAATAGAGGAGTGGGTGACTTGTGTGAGTTGGGGGGGGCCTCCTGCTGCTGGAGGTCCCTCGCCTTGTCCCCGTGTCACCTGCCAGCCCCTCTGGTGGGGGATGTGGACCCCAGGAGAAAGAGGAAGAAGCTGATGAATCTTTTGGCTCCTCTTTGCTGCACCAGGGCTTGGGGCCACGCGTGTCCTCCCTGGGCTGGTGGTGGCCCCCTCTGCGCTCTGGCCAGAAGTAACCTTTGGGTTTTGTCCCTTTCCAGGTCTCTTCACGCTCCTGGTCGAAGATTTTGGTGAGTCTGAGGTGGCCTCCTGGGAAGCTGGTTTCATGCTTGATGCTACCTCTCGCCCTTTCTTGGTAGCCTCGGTACCAGCTTCTGCCCTTTGTTTGCAGGGGTCAAGGGGGTGCAGGTCGAGGAGATTTACGATCTGCAGAGCAAGTGCCAGGGGTAAGTCACGGGCTCGAAAGCGGGGTTTTGTTGAGCAAAATGCATCTGGGAGCCTGAGAGCTCCTCGCCAGGCACTGGGAAGGGCGCACACAAGGCCATGGGTCCCAGAGGTCAGCGTTGGGGTGGGCGAGCTCCTCGTGTGGTAACCCGGCTGGCACCGCAGGCTGCGAGGGCAGATGGGCCCCAGGCACAAAAATGCACAGAGCAAGACCTGGTGTGGGGCAGCCCCAGAGCTGTGTGCGCTCTGCCCAGCGCGCTGCAGCCTGTGACTCCTCTCCACAGCCCCGTGTACGGCTTCATCTTCCTCTTCAAGTGGATCGAGGAGCGCCGCTCGCGCCGCAAGGTCTCGACCCTGGTGGATGAGACGTCGGTGATCGACGATGACATCGTCAATAACATGTTCTTTGCTCACCAGGTGGGCTGGGGGCACCTCGGGGAGATCTCCCCTGGGTGGTGAGGCAAAAGGAGCTGCGGGTGGGGAAGGAGATCTCCTTCCCAGGGGTCTCTGTCCTGAGCCACAGCTTGGAGGGACCCAGGGGAGGGCTGAGAGCCTGACTGGGGCCCGTGCTGCCAGCAGGTGCCCACAGGGGCACGTTGAGGCAAGCTGAAGGAAGCCGATCTCCTCTGCCCCTCCGAGAGAGCAGCTGTAGCTCAGGCCACTGTTCCACGAGCGGTTTTTGGGTTATTGGTGACGGAGGGGTTGTCAAACAAGCGCTGTTCCTGCTGCTAACTGGTCCTTGTGTCACCCCCCAGCTGATCCCCAATTCCTGCGCCACCCACGCCCTGCTGAGCGTCCTCCTGAACTGCAACAATGTGGACCTGGGCCCCACGCTGAGTCGCATGAAGGATTTCACCAAAGGATTCAGCCCCGAGGTAGGGGCGGAGGCGTGCAGGGCTGTGCAGCGCTGTGACCCTCTCCTGCTCCCCTCAGGACCCTGCTGTGGCCAGCTGGCATCTCCGCAGCCCTTCCTGGCTGCCTGAGCGTTGTGAATTTGATCTGTGATCAAATGCACTCCTGCCTTCACACCTAGCATTTTCTTACCATTTCTCCGTTGTTTCCCTCTCCTGCTCTTCTGCAGAGCAAAGGCTATGCCATCGGCAACGCCCCCGAGCTGGCCAAGGCCCACAACAGCCATGCCAGGTGAGCCAGGATGCCTCTCGCAGCGTGGTTCTGCCGGAGCGGGCTCCCCGCTCACCTCCTGCCTCTCGCCCTCGCAGACCGGAGCCGCGGCACCTGCCGGAGAAGCAGAACGGCATCAGCGCTGTGCGAACCATGGAGGCTTTTCACTTCGTCAGCTACGTCCCCATCAAGGGGCGGCTGTTTGAGCTGGACGGGCTGAAGGTCTATCCCATCGACCACGGTAAGAACCTGCCCGCCACCGCTCGTTGACACAGTTGGAGGGACAGCCTGGTTTGCCCACGTTGTGTTGTCTTTCATTGTTAGTGAGCTTTAGCTGGGCTTCGTGGAGAATCATTCCAGCGGCTCCCAGATTCGTCCTGAGTTTTGACAGCTCCTTTTGGAGCCTCTGCATTGGAGCCTTTGTGTAGAAAGCAATTATTTCTAGATGCATCATGTTGCTTTTTTCCAGCTGTGCTGCTTTCCTCCACAGTTGCTGAGGGCTGTGAGGTCCCTCTGCAGCTCGGCGATGTGGCATCACGAGCAGAACCTGTCCCCTCCTCACTGCTCCCTGTGCCAAATAACTGCTGCGTGCTGAGGCCTGAGGTCCCCAGCAGTACTGCTGCTCCGTTCTGTCTTTCAGACACGTGCTTATCCCTGCTAGGGCTTTGTTTCTGTTTCTCAGGCCCTGTGCTCCTAATTCTGGCTCTGCCTTTCTCCAGGGCCGTGGGCTGACGACGAAGAATGGACAGACAAAGCCAGGAGGGTGATCATGGAGCGCATCGGCCTGGCCACTGCAGGGTAATGTCCCAGCCCTGCTGCGGGCTCTGGGTCATCTCCTCTGCCCCTGGGTCATTTCTGCCGGGCTCTGATGAGTTGTGGGGGTGAGAACATTGCTTGGGAGGGGTGTGGGTGTGCTGCCTGGTCCCTTTCTTTGCCCCTGCCCTGGAGCATGCGGAGGAGCTGTGCTCGGTGCGGTGCAGTCCCTGCGAAGCCCCGTGTGGCCACGTCGGGTCCCGGTTTGCTGAAGGGAGAGAGAATGGGGCTGCTGGTCCTGGGCCGGGCCTCCTGGTGCGGGCAGAAGTCTGAACGCTGCTGCCTGCAGTGTGGGGAGGAAACACGAGGAATTAGGGATCTGTGCGCAGCTGCGGGACTGCGGTCCTGTTGGGTTCATGGAGGTGGATCGTGAGCCAGCTGAGAGCTCGAGGGATAGGATTAGAGAGGGGATGGGTACGGGTGGCATCGCAGCGGGTGTCAGCTGTGGGCTGCCCAACCAGGAAGACGAGTGGGTGAGGCCTTCCACAGACAGCTGGAAGTAGCCTCGTGTTCCCCATGGGGGACTTCAGCCCTCCTGGTGTCTGCTGGAGGGCAGGTGCTGATCTGGGCAGCTGGGAGAGGAATTTGGGGACTGGAGGAAAGCAAATGTCACTTCTGCCTTCAAGAAGGTCAGAGGGAGAGCCCAGGGAACTGCAGGCCAGTCAGCCTTACCTGGACCCCTGGAACTGTGATGTGACAGCTCGTCCTGGAAACCATTTCCAGCCACGTGAATGACAGGAAGGTGATCAGAGGTAGTCAGCGTGAAGCACACCGAGGGGCAGTGGTGCCTGGCCTACCAGGCATCCTCCTGGGGATGAGGTGACTGGCTTGTGGATGAGGGAAGAGACGTGGATATTCTCTGCCTTGATTTCAGCGAGGCTTTTGATCTGTCTCCCGGGAGATTCCTGTAGAGAAGCAGCAGCGTTATGGTGTCAGATGAGCAGGCAGCGAGGTGTTTTGAAGCCTGGCTGAACAGCCAGGTTCAGAGGGTGGTGGTCAGAGGCACGGCCTCGTTGGAGGCCCGGAGCTAGCGGAGTGCCGCAGGGGTCGGTCAGCGTGAGGTCTGCTCTGACTCCCCGCAGGGAGCCGTACCACGACATCCGTTTCAACCTGATGGCAGTGGTGCCCGATCGGAGGATGAAGTACGAGTCCAAGCTTCACATCCTGAAGATGAACCGCCAGACCGTGCTGGAGGCCTTGCAGCAGGTAGGAGAGCCCGGGTCCCGAGGGAGTACAGGGTTCAGATGGTAACAGGCTCTGCTCTCAGGGGATCTCGCTGTGCTGTAGGGACCCTGCATGGTTCTTTTTTGTTTGTTTTTTCCTCTTTGTGAGACCTCCTCTGGGAAGAGGAGATACCCTTGTTGCTGCTCACCTGGGAGGTTGTCCATAAAGCTGGTGGTTGTTGTGTGCGTGGGTGCTCAGAGGTTGGCTTGCCCTCGCAAATTCTCCCTCGGTGATGCCCTAGGGGGAGCGGCGTGCTTTGGGTTGCCCTGCTCCAGTGCTCACTTCTGCTCCATCATTTGCCTTCAAGCTTATCCGAGTCACTCAGCCTGAGCTGATCCAGACCCAGAAGTCTCAGGAATCTCAGTCTACCGAAGAGACAAAGCCAGCCAGCAGCAAGACTGTGGCTCCAGAGAGCACCCATCCAGGTAGGTCCCCATGCCAGGGGTGTTTCAAGCCAGCGTGGCCCGCTCTGAAGCGAGCACATCCTGGCATAGGCTGGTGATGGTGTCTGGCTGACCTGGAGCTTGAGAAACTTCTATGGTTGGCTTCGTTTTTCTTTTCCTCTGACCCCAGCTCCATGTGCAGTGTGCTGGGATGTGGCTGACCAGGCCTGCTGTAGATACCAGAGTGCCTGGGAGGAGTGTTGGAGGGAAACGGAGCTTGAAAAGGGCGAGGACTTAAGTTTGGGGACACTTGTGATGGCTGAAAGTGGGATGGGAAGTGGCTGTGATGCTCTGCTTGTGCTCTGGTGGAGCGTACGAGCTCTTCTGTTACGTGGGGCAGGAGAGGGGTGGCAGAGGGCGCTGAGTAGCCAGCAGTGGAAGTGAGAGGCTGCGCGGTGCCTGTGTTGCAGACAGCACTGATGAGCACACGAGCCAGGGGCACCCCGTGGCCACACAGAGCCCACCCACCCGCTCCAAGCCAGTGGTGAAGACGTCAGCAAGCACCATCAACGGGGCGCCTCCGGCAAACCCCAACCCCATCATGCAGAGGTTGCCGGCCTTCCTGGATAATCACAACTACGCCAAGTCGCCCATGCAGGTGGGTTGGAGCTCCAAGCTCCTGTCAGGGGTGCTGCTGGCCTTCTGCTCTGAGTCCCCCGCCTCCAGGGGGTTGTGGCTGAGCAGGTCTCAGCCCTTTCCCTGCCTCGTGGCGTGCCTGCCCTCGTGCTGCTCAGGCTGGAAGGGCAGAGGGGTAAAAAAATGACCCGACAGAAGAGGTTGGCTCTAACGTGGGTCGCTCGGTTGGTGTGAATCACTGCATTGTGGGGGAACATTGATGTTGGAGCGAAGGGGGCTGGGCAGGGACAGTTTGCTCACACAGACTTCATGCTCGAGCCAAGTGCCAAGCTTCCTGTGGGAGCCACATCCAGGAGCTGCCGTTGGAGGACTGGGGAGGATCTGGGTTGAGGGCTGTGGGGTGGCAAAGGACAGAGCCCAGCTCCCTTTTTTGCTGCTGACCTGGGTATACTAAAGCCAGTAATGCTTAAATGGACCCAAACTGTGAGCTTGGGTGTCTCCTGGCTGCTGACACTCTGCATCCAGGTCCTGGTCTGCACCGAGCTTGATCCAGAAGTACCACGGACAAGCTCACAGCCAGAGCAGTTGCACGAGAGGCAGCTGTTCCTCAGGGGCACAGGGAGCAGTGATTTCCAGCTGAGCAAGTGTACACAGGAGTTCTGTCCACGAGGTTCTTCCTCCTCACCCAGCAGTCGGCAGGCTGTCAGCGGTGGTGTTTTGCAGGAGGAGGAAGACCTGGCGGCAGGAGTGGGTCGCAGCCGGGTCCCAGTCCGACAGCACCAGCAGTACTCAGATGATGAGGATGACTACGATGATGATGAGGAAGAGGAAGTTCGTAACACCAACTCAGCCATCAGGTAACGGCTCGAGCTGAGGCAGAGGACAGAGGGAGGCTTAGCTGTGTGCCTGGCTCTGAGGGGTGCTGACCTTCGCAGAATTGCTTGCAGTGACTTCCAGATCTCTTTCCTGAGCATGATTAGCTGTGTTACAGTCTGTGACTGCAACGTGTGTGCAATCTGGACTGTTTTTTTTAATTTGCCTGGCATTTTACTGTTCACTCCTTGGATTTTGTGAAACCTTTCTGTTGCTCTTCATAATCAACTCTGAATTTTGGCTGCCCTGAGTAACTGTGTATCTGGGACTTCTCTGCTTCCCCCCTTCTCCAAACATTCCTGAACAAAATGAATGGGCCAGCACTGGGGGGGCTCCTTCGTAGCCTGCCCAGCTTTGCTTTTCTTTCTCCTAGGGCTTTTCTGGTTGCTGTGTGGGTAGTGGAGCTCAATATGGGGAAGGTCACCTCATAGCTGATAAATTACCGGGCTTTTTGGGCAGAGGGTGTCAGCTGCACATCAGGGTGCTTGGTGGTTGAGGAAATGTGGTGTGCTGTGCTTGGGGGGCTTCATTTTTACACCACTCTGTAGGGGTACCTGCAGCTGAGCAGCTTGGTGGGGTGGGCTGCTGCCAGAGATGCTGGTGGCAACGAGAGCAACCTAGAAACGTTCCAGGCCTTGCTTCATCCTAGCACACGGCCTCAGGTGCTGAGTGTGGGGCTGGCAGTGCCCGTGCTGCTGCAGCTGGGCCCCCCAGCTCCTTCCCCCCGCCTTCACCTTCCCTTCTGCATCCCTGGGCAGGTACAAAAGGAAAGGGCAAGTAAAGCAAGAGCACGCAGCAGGGGCTGCGGACGGCCAGCTCTCTGTCCTCCAGCCGAACACCATCAACGTCCTGGCCGAGAAGCTGAAAGAGTCGCAGAAGGACCTCTCCATCCCCCTGTCCATCAAGACGAGCAGCAGCGGAGCTGCCGTGGCGGTTGTCACTCACTCCCAGCCCTCTCCCACCCCCAGCAACGAGAGCACCGACACTGCCTCCGAGATCGGCAGCGCCTTCAACTCCCCGCTGCGCTCTCCCATCCGCTCGGCCAACCCCACCCGCCCCTCCAGCCCCGTCACCTCCCACATCTCCAAGGTCCTTTTCGGCGAGGAGGACGGGCTGCTGCGCATCGACTGCATGCGCTACAACCGGGCCGTCAGGGACCTGGGGCCCATCATCAGCTCCGGGCTGCTGCACCTCACAGAGGATGGCGTCTTTTGCCCGCTGGCTGTTGCAGGTAGGTGCCCGCAGTCCCTTGGGGGGGGTGGTGCCCCGTGGTGATGGGGCTGCGTCCTTTTGCTGTGGCTCCTAACGCTTCTCTCCTGTGCGCAGATGGGGGGAAAAGCTCCCCCTTGTCCATCAAACCCGGTGAAGAGGCCCAGGTTGCCATCAAACTGGAGGAGAAGGAGGGCAGTGAGGCCGGTGACAGCAAAGAGAAGGTGGGACTTGGCAGGACCAGTGATCACCCTGGGGGGGAAAAGTATTCTCCCAAGGTGAGTTTTGTGCTGCGACGGCCCTAGGAACACGGAGCCCCCTGTGCTCGCCCAGAGACGCAGCAGCACCGGCAGTGACCGAACCACATGTGCACGGTGTCCCGCTTGCGTGCCACCACCGCTGTGCCTTGAGGCACAGGGCAGTGCAGGTTTTGTGCCTCGTATCCTCTTGGGACACCCGTGTTGGCAGCGGGTAGAGCTGCTGCTTCCTGCGGTTGGGATGTTCTCCGTGCTCTACTTTGGGACCCTGCTGAGACCCTGCCCAGGTCCCTTGGCAGCCCAGCTCCCAGCCTGTCCTAACTTTATTGCCTGTCTCTGCCCCCTAGCCAGCAACAAGACCAGGCTTGGGCAGCACGAGCACACGGAGGTCTCCCTGCAGGATAGCTGCCTGGAAACGTCTTCTGTTTTACTCAGAAGGGAAATCCTCAAGCTGTGTTAGTGAAAAGAACCAGGGCTGGGCTCAGGCAGAATATGCCTGTGAACAACAGCTCACCATGGCTAGCCTTAGCACCAGCTGATTGATTATCCTCACTCAGATGTTCCCTATACTGAAATGCTACTTTATTTTTTTCCCCTCTCTGGCAACTGTTTTTTTGTTTTGATGAATCCTAGCACAGTGAGGAACACCCCCAGCTCACCCCTGCAGCTCTAGGGCTGTGTGCTGGCAGGCACGGGGCCGTCTGCTCACGTTTGCTCTGCTTGGTCCTGTCAGGAGCTGCTGGCACTGCTGAAGTGTGTGGAGGCAGAGATTGCAAACTACGAGGCCTGCCTGAAGGAAGAGGTGGAGAAGAGGAAGAAATTCAAGGTGTGTTTGTTGCTGGATCATTTATGTTGCCGATTTAGATCCCTGATTGCTTCCATCTCTGGTCAAGCTTATGTCAAAGTGGAGGGAGGGTGGTTCAGCTGAGAAGAGTGATGGGAACACCTGAGGTCTGTCCTGTTACCAAGCAGCCAGGTATGGGAGCGCTCCTCCTAGAGCAGATTGAGGCCCCTGGGCAGCCCAGGCTGGAGGAGGGTGGAGGAGCTGTGCAGCTGGGACACTGCTGAGCATCAGCACTGCTAGGAGGAAGGGCCTGGAGGCCTGGCAGGGTTCCTCCTGTGCCTTCTTGTGTGCTGGGCTGGGGGCTGAGACCCTTCCTGCTCTGTTCCCCTCAGCCTGGGGCTGGGCCAGGCACTACACCGGTTCTTGGCCCTGTGAGCTCTCCTTTCTCCCTGCCCCATCTGTAGTTACGTATGAATCTGCATTCTATTTGTAGATTGATGACCAGAGGAGAACCCACAACTACGATGAGTTCATCTGTACCTTCATCTCCATGCTGGCGCAGGAAGGTGAGATGTGGAAACAAGGTGTGGGATTCAGGTTCAGCTGCGGGGAGCTCTGTGGGCTTGGGGTGAGAGAGGGAGGGCTGTGATTTGGTGTCAGTAATGCCAGCACCCTCTCCAGCGCGTGCTGGCCATCTGCAGCACTTTGTTACAGCAGCTGTGCTGCCTCTGTCCCTGCAGGCATGCTGGCCAGTCTTGTGGAGCAGAACATCTCCGTCCGCAGGCGGCAGGGAGTCAGCATCGGCCGTCTCCACAAGCAGAGGAAGCCCGACCGCCGGAAACGCTCCCGTCCGTACAAAGCCAAGCGTCAGTAGTAGCCTTGGGGTCAAGACTGTGAGGAACTGGCCCCTGGGGCTTTGGGCAGTGGCACTTGGATGTATCTTACCCTTTGCCCAAGGAAGAGGGACCCCAGTGAGAAGCCCTTGGCTGAGGTGGAGCCTCGGGACAAATGGAAATTGGGTTTTCCTCCGAGCCTGAGTTGTGAAAGGCAGAACTGCCTTGTCTCAAGGAGAGACCCTGCAGCACCAGGCGAGCCTGAGCTGCCCCCCTGGGCCATGGCCACGCGCAGACGCCCTGGGCCTGTGTCTCCGTGCCGTGGCTGAGGACTGTGGCAGGAGGGGCAGAGCCCACCTGGTAGTGGTGGGCCCGGTGTGGGGACACTGGTGCCACTGGTGTGAGGCTGTGCTGGCCGCAGCTGGCTGTGGCTTGTGTCCTGTGTGTGCAGGCCTTCAGCTCTGTGCTTCCCCAAGCCACTCACGGCTGTTTTCTGTTTGTCTCCCTCCCTTCACAAAATTTATGTTCTGGTTCTGAACCACACTTTGGCTCCTGGACGGAGCTGTTCTCCAGTACGGCTGGGCCTGCGTGAATGCAGCTCTGTGCTGCCCCGTTCCCTGAGCTGGCTGATGCTCCAGGGATGGCAGTGCCACCTCCCCACCCAGCCAGGCTCTCCTTTGGGCATTGCCCACTTGTCCCCAGCCCTGTGGGGGTGCTGGAGGGCCCTGCTTCCACACCTGCTCTCCTAGGGACCAGCTCTGTGGCCCTGGCTGGTGCCTTTGGGTCACACAGGGTTGCTCCAGCCCTTGTCCCGGGTTGGCCTTGGTGCTGGGGTGGAAGCTGGATCTGGAGGTGCCTTGGTGCCCTTGATGAAGCCTTTCAGGGGGGGAAGAGGTGACAGTGTAATACCCAAGGCACAAAGGGAGCCTCATGGGCAGACAAACCGGGGGCAGCCCAAAACTGCTTCTCCTGCCCAAGCTCCTCACTGGTTGCCACCCAAGAGCTGGCTGGTGTGGGCAGAGCCCTGGTTCGGACTGCAGCACACTGGCACAGCCTTCCTACCAGCCCCATCAGTGCTCCTGCAAATGGTTTTCTCCCCCATCCTCAGCAGCCTGGCAGAAATCTCAGAAGCCAAAGGTTGGTGCCTCTCCCCAGAGGTGAAGGCAGGAGGAGCTGAGCTGGGGACAAGGGGAACAGAGACAGGAGAGGACTGAATTTGCTGAACGGGAAAATTTGTACAGATCTTCACTGTGGAATGAAACTGTCTTTTTTTTTTATTTGTTGAAGATTTGTTGAAGGAAAGCAAAATCCTTCTTGCTGTGTCTGATACCAAGTACTGTACATAATGGATCTGAAGGAATAAAGCTATCCTGTAACAGCCATCCAAGGGACAGGGGTGGGAGGGAAGGGTGAGCCACCTGTAAGCACTGGAGCTGGGTCCATTGCTGTATTTTTGACAAACTGGCAGCTCTTCTGGGGTGCTAAAAACTTGGAGCAAGTGTGGGGGCTGCAGCAACAACAAGTGAATGTGATTGCTGGTGGAGCTGAGCTTTACAGTTACAGTGAAGGGTGTGAGGAGCAGCTCAGGAGGAGGGGCAGGGGTTGGTACCTGTCAGTGCCTGCCCCTGGTGCTTCCCCTGCCTGCGCAGGTTCCCCAGCTAGAAGTCCAGGGAGCAGATCAAGGCTGTGCCCCGTTTGATCCAGTGCTGCTGGGGCTTGTCCGTAGGGAGCTCCACAGCGATCACGTAGTTGGTGGAGTGGCCTGTGGTCGATAGCGTTCCTGGATGGGGGGAAGCAAAGGAGGGAGGGTGGTACCACAGCCCGGCTGCCTGGGCAGCTGCAGCAGTCCCCTACAAGTGACCCCATGTCCCATCCCAGAGTATTTTAGGGTGAGGGCTCCACTCCACAACCAGAGCAGGCACAATCCCGTTTTTCCTTGCTCCAATACCAGTGCACAGCAGGAGGCAGAAGAGCTCTGCAGCCTCTCCTGGGCTGTCTGTCCTAGCTAGCTCTATGGGCTCTGTTTTCAGAGGCCTGTCTTCAGGGCACCTACCTGCACGAGTGAGCGTCTTGTAAATGGGGCACAGGTAGATGCCGGTGGCTGGAGGCTTGCGGCTGGGGACAGGAAGCAGCCAGATGACTGCCATCTCGGTGTAAAGCTCCTTGGGCCGGGACTCTGCCAACTGAAAGGCAGAGGGGTCCCAGCGGGCGCCTTCGAGGAACAAGCCGTGGATGTAGCAGCCCTCGGCAGGAGGGTGAGCGAGCTCGCTTGCTGACTCCTTCATCACCTGTGGAGGAGAGCAGGCCCAGGGCTGTGAGCGAGGCACAGCTGTGGAGGCTCAGCCTCCCAGGACCTCCCCCAAAACCCTTTACGCTGCTCTTGGCTAAGTCACTGCTACCAAAACCTGCCCCAGCTCTTGGAGGTGCTGGCTGGGTTTTCCAGCAGCCTGAGGAAAAGCCTGGAGAGAGAAATGTGAGCAGGTCTGGAGAGAGGGAGAGTTGCTGGTTGCCTCGTGACGGTGCCTGGTGGTGCTGGTGTACGTATCTGAGCACATCTCCGATGCTGGGCTCCCCATGCAGCAATTGGCTCCACGTTTGAGCAGGCTGGGGCTAGAACTAGGCCTGCGTGCTGCTTTGTTCCATCAGCAAATTCCCAAGCAATCCAGCAAGAAATCTGGCTGAGTCACTCACCTGGAAGCTAAATGAGATCGTGTCGATGGAGATAACAGACTTCCTGGCGAAGTTCTGCAGTGTCCCCGTGAGGAAAGCCTGGGGGAAGAAGAACCCGCTGATCCAGAAGACGGAGGGGATCCCGTCGTTGATCCATTTCTTCAGGAATTCAATCCGCTGCACCAAGTCGTTCACCCAGGATGCCAAGGGCTTCAGCGAGGGGTAGGCCTGTGGGGGACCAACAGGGGAAGGTGGTGAATTCATACAAGGATACCCTAAACCTCGTGCCTGAGTTGCTGACAGCTGCCCAGAGCCCAGGGATTCATCCAGCCTAGGGCTGAGAACCTCCTGCATGAGGCAGGAGACATCTGCAAGCCCCAGGGGCTTTGTGCAGTGTGAGACAGCCCAGCCCAGCTGTGGAATTTGTCCAGCTTCCCCGGGCAGCTGGGCTGGCTGGGAGATGTACCTTGGTGTTCCACATTGCAGGGACGGCGTTGTTGTACAAGCTGTCGGCCATCAGCTCCAGCTGAGAAGACATCACAACCAGGCCCTTGAGAGCTTTCAGCAAATCCTTCAGCGTCTGAGCAATCACCTCCAGGAGGCTGTTGTACCTACAGAGAAAAAGCTGATGTTTCTGCGGAGGGATCAGAGTGACCTGGTACAGGGCTTGCAAAACCCCATGTAACCTTCATCTTCCATCCTCTTGGATGGGGCCCTTGTAACTGCCCCCTTCCCCGAGCCCTGGATTGCTGCCAGTAGCAGACGGAGCCACTGATCAGCCCCTACACAACAGGGAGCAGCTGGAGGCACTGTCTAGGACAGCAAAGTCATGACCATTGCTGCCACTGCCCTGCCACCAATGAAGTCCCTTGGGGAAGGGGGCAGGGGTGGAAGCAGGGGCACGCACATCCCAGCAGATTTCTGGCCCAGGACAGGACCCCACAAGGGGTTACCTGATCACCTCCTGCACCAGCACCGTGTTCATGGACTCCTCATAGAGCAGCGGGTATTTGCGGATCACCTCCTGCAAGTCCATGAGGGCAGGCAGCTTTGCCAGGATGTCCCTTGAGGTCTCCTCCACGAGCTGGAAAGCAAGCAGAGAGCAGGTTAGCATCCTGCTGGCTGCAGCCGCTGGGAAAAGAGAGGACCACGACCCCGATGGCAGTGCCATCAGCTGGGAGGCAGCGTGGTGCTGGTGTTGCTCCTGCTGAGAGCTGGTGTTCCTGCGTGCACGGATGTGAAGGGGGCACCCACCTCCTCCCTGCTGCGGCCGCCCAGCGTCAACATCTTGGGTTGCAGCTGCATTATGGCCCCCAGCAGGGCAAAGGTCTCCTTCTGAGCAAAGGTGATGTTGGCGTTCTCATGTAACCCGAAGAGCTCCGGGCTGTCGTTGAGCGGCAGGCTTCTGATGTACTGCAGGTACCCCTGGAGAGGAAGCCACAAGGGCTGTGAGACAGACAGCAGGTCTGGGAGCCCCAGATCTGTGGGTACCCTTTAGGGCTTCCATGGGTCTAGCCAGGAAGAAACAACTAAAACCAGGGCTGCTTGATGAGCTAAACCCAGCAGACCACAAACCTGCAGGCGCAGGTGGAAGCTATTCTTTGTTTTAGGGCTTGAGATTCTGACTTTTACACAGCTCCTTGTCTCCTGTTCAGCCAGGAAATGTAACTCCCAGCTTTGACGCAGGGGCAGTGGCTGACGCAGAAGGGGACGCTGAGGGGGTGGCAGCTCCTTGGAGCCAGCTGTAGTGGCTGAACGGAAGCTATAGCCCTAGTTTATGGTTTGACCGGGGAATTAAATCACACTTGTGTCAAAACAAATGTATTCTACAAGAGTGGGCAGCTTGGCAGTGAGCCTCCTGTAGTGACCTCTGCACAAAGCTCTTCAGGCACTTTAGGTATGTGACATCAAAGTGGTTCAGAGCAGAACTGCCTTCAGATGGGGAATTCTGGCAATAGCTACAACTTCCTCCTGTGCACATGGACAAGATTTTCTTCCTGTTGCTTAAATCAGATGCAGCTTCCCGGAAACCGCTGATGATCCCCAGTTTCTTACAAACTTAAATTCCCCAGGGAAATGGAAAAGCTGTGGGTTTCAGGGAAAAGTACAGCCCCATTGTACTACGCTGACATCCCCGCCCAGATTTATGAAGCCGCGCACCGTTACACACGTACTTACATTGAGGTCTGAGGCAGTACTGATCTGTTTGTAGATCCCAGATTCAGAATAAGCAAACTCCGGAATTAGAACCTCAGGCTTGTAGAAATCTTCCAAAATATTCATGATGCAACGCCTGTCCCAGTCATCAGTCACGCGGCCTCCGTAGTTGATCTCCCCAGCCGTGTACTTCAGTACCTGTGAGGGACCCCACAACAGCTTTCTGTCCCGTGCACGCTTCGTGAGCTTACCCTCTGCCCAGGAGGGGCCGGCTCACACCCCCACCTTGTACGGGATATCTGTGTATTCATTCAGGAACATCTCTAGTTGGCTGATGCAGATGCGGAGGTCTCCGTCTGTGAACTCGTAGGGGATGTTGAACCCCAGAGGGCCAAACTTCCTCCTCTCCAGCATGTTCCCGTGGAAGAAGCAGAGTGACAGCAACAAGGATTTAAACTCTGTGATCTGTGGGAAGAGAAGCAGGGAGAAGAGGTGCTCAGCTTGGGAGGTGTTGGATGAGGTAAGCTCCTGCTGGGACCTAGTGGCAGGGAAAAAATGACATGCACCAACTCAGCATGGAGCCCGCAGAGGCAGAAACCTCAGACAAGCTGCTGCACTAGGGAAGGTCGTGAGCCTGCTCCCTTGCTTCAAGAAGTTCACAAGTGTCTTCATCAGGTCTCCACAATACTCATTATTAATTCTCATATTGAAACTTCTAATTGGTTCCTCACAGAGTAGGTGTAGGCTTACGAGAGCTTCCACCAGCCCTTTTCTGTCATGTGTGAGGGCTCTAGGAGAGAAGATCTGTACCCAAAGACAAGGCTGGGGGAGCACGTGCATAGGAGCAGGCACAGACTGGGGAGCAGAACCTGGGCCTTCCTTACCTTGGAGCAGGAAGTCAAGAAGTCATCGCTGAAACTGCTGTATGACTTGAGCAGGTTGGCCTTGACCCCACGGGGGGGCTCAATGGTCACCTTGGAGCTGTTCTGGAGGATGGACACAGGGAAGTGGTTGCTTGGCAGACTGGTGAGCCAGAGGCGGAAATCCTGCTGCACCTAGGGGGTCAGGAGGCAGTGAGTGCTCCTGGCACCGATGCCCTGTTTTTTTGGGGAACTTGTGGGTGGGCTGGAACTAGGCCTGGGCTCCTCCTGGTGCTCCAGTTTCCCTCTCAGAGGGGAAGCTGCTTGGTAAAACAGCTCAGTGCAAGCCTCTGGTTGCTGGAAGCCCAAGGCTGTGCGTGACACCAAAGGGCCCAAAGACTGGAAGCCTCAGCAAATGGCTACAGCAGTGGCAAAGCTGCAGTCCTCTGGGAGAGGGGAGATGCAAATATCATGTTCCCCTGCTCCAGTGGCCACCAGGTGAGGTGGTTTCCTTCGGTTCGCAGAGCAGGAGGAACAGGGCTGCTTGCAAAGCGATGCAGCTGGAGGAGGAGATCCCGGGGGGGCACAGAAACCTGCTTGCTGGGCAGCGGAGCCACACTGTTGTGTGGGGTGGGAACAAAGGTTTTCCTCAGCCAGGGGGATCTGGGTGTTACCTGGTTGGGGTTAATGCCTTCGATGAGTCTCTCCAGTGAAGGCATCCAGCTGGGGGCCAGGTGGCAATTCTGGAAGAAGACCCATTTGCCCTGCTCCATGGCACTGTGCATCATGGCTTCAGCACGGGGGCCCTGAGGAGGCAGATGAGAGGAGATCAGACCCCAGTCCATCAGGCTGCATCCTGCTGAGCTGGACAGGGACAATGCCGCTGGGTGGCAGGACCCCTTTCCAGATTGATAGCCTGGCTTTGTCCCTGGGGCTCAACTGAACCACCACCATCTGCTGAGGGTGCAGCAAGGGCCCTTCAAACCTCACCAAGTCTGTGGGCTGTGGGGTGGGAGGGTGCAATGGAAGAATTCGAGATGGCTTCAGGAAGTTGGAGGGCTCTATCAGGGGAATAGCTGCAGCCCTCCCTGATGAAATGGCTCCTCCAGCTAGCAGAATATTGGACAGTGAGGGCCCTAGGGCAGGAGGATGCTGTCACTGTCCTGCAAGGGCATTTGGCCTCCCCAGAGCCAGGTGAGATCACAGGAGTGCCAGCAGGACGGTCCTGCCCCGGCTCAGCACCAGCAGCTTACCTGGCCTTGGCCCAGGGAAATGGCAGAGAGCTTTTTGGAGAACTCCATCTCTTCAGCAAACTTGTAAAGGTCGGCAGCTGGGTCAGTGCCTGGGGACAGCACAAACACGAGCGGGGTGGTGGCGCTGGACTCCTTGAACACGACGGAGAGGTCAGTGGTCTGCAACACAGACAGCTCGTTGTAGAGGAGGGGCTGTAGTGGCAGCGTGCACCGTGGCTGCGCTGTGGCACCACGCACAGCACCGCCTCCCCCAGCTCCTCTCTGCGTCCCCAGAGTGGTGCTGGGGGCTGAGACCAGAAGCACAATCAATAAGGACCTGGTACAGCTCTCCTTTGGCAGGGTTACAGGCAGGGCAGTGACTAATTTCCCATTTGCTGTTTAAACTCTTGTACACCTGCACTAACTGCTCTCTCCCAGTGCAGTTTAACTTGTGGATAAGAAGTAGGATATCCTTCCTCTGAGACAGAAGTATTCTCCAGCTACGTGGACTCTGTCAGTGCAGCCCTAACTCTATGTCAGAGGCACGAGCAGCTTCACTGCAGCTGGGAAATGCTGACGGCCCCTTTGCAGCCAGCTTGAGGCCTCCTGCTCTCCTCCTGGCCCCAACATTGCTTCCTTCTGGCTGGTACCTGCGGCTCAATGAAGGTTTGATCCAGGTTCAGTGCCACAAAGTCCTGCATGGCATTGGTGATCTTATCTCCCCGCAGACACCGCAGAACCAGCAGCTTCTGAAAGGCATCAAGCCCAGTATCCCACTTCTGGGGCAGGGGCTCTCTGCAAAGCAATTAGATATATTTTTTTGGGGGGGGATGCATCAGATCCTGCAGCTCCTCAAGAAGCACCCAAGCTACCTGCAAGAAGCCATGGGGTTTTATGAGGATCAAGGACCAGCCAGCCAGTTGGCTGAGGTTGTTGTCCATAGCTTTGAAACCATCAGTGGACAAACCAGAGCCACAGCTGCTTCTGGGCTCTGCCGTGGGCAAGCAACAGGGCCAGAAACCCAAACCCCAGCCAGGCCTGCACAGGCAAGCTCTACCCTTCAGGAGACAAGACAATGCCTTGTCTTCTCCCTTGTGTGGCACTATGAGTGGAGCTGGCTGGATCAGCTCCTTGTGTTCTCCTAGGAATGACACTATGTGCCAGGTGCAGTACAGCAAGATCAACAAAGCACGGGATACTTGCCTGTGAGGCTCAGGGCTGTCAAAAATGGCCCTGAACGCTTCAAGGTTAGCTGCGAAGTCATCTGCAAAGCCAGAGAAGTTCTTCAGGTTGCTCAAGGCCAGGATGTCTCCCCACGCTCGCTCAGACAGCCAGTCTGGAGCTGGGTTCTCCCGCATCTCCTTTACGGCTCCCCCTGACAGCAGGTACCGCCACTCCTCCTGCAAACAGGTCGGGGATTGCAGCTTACCTGCCTGGACCTGGAGCACGTGGGTGCACGCCACATTTCAGGAGTATTCCGGCTGCCTCTCTGGCCAGGGGAGTGCGTGGAGGCATAAATGAACACCAGAGGGTCTGGTGAGATCGGTGTTGCCATTCAGTTGCTGTTAGCTTTCCTCTGTGGTGCTGCAGCCTCAAATCCCTGCCTGCTCCTGAACTCACTAACTTTAGCAGCAGACTGGCAGAAGCTGCAGTGGTTCAGGCTAGGCAGCCTGCATATAGGCGCAGGGAAAGGTTTGAGCTCTTGAATGAACAGAAAAGCCCTAGGTTTGCCATGCCCAGCCCCAGGGAACACCTGGGCTTGAGCTGCTCCGCAGGGATCGTATTCAAGGACTGGGGGGACTTGCTCACCATATCGATCTGCCCCTCATTCATCAGGATCCGCGCAGAAAGCAGGAAGGCAAACATGAGCTTGTGCTTCTCAAAGAGGCTACGGCACACGTTGCTGTACAGACTGAAGGTGACGTAGTTGTTGATGTTTGTGATTCGCTCCTTCACGGTATCTGGAAAAAAGGCAGCAATCAGATAAGGGTGGTGGGTGACGCAGAGGCTGCGCTGTCAGGACAAGGGTGCTGTCAGTGCCTGGTCACAGGGACACAGCCGCTCTCTGCCTAGGAAGAAGAGATGTTGCCCTCAAGCACAGACTTAGCACAGAAACCCCAGGTGGATGAAGAGGTGCTTGCCTCTGTTCTTGCTCAGGAGAGAGCTGGCATGGAAGGAAGAGCTGTCCCAGCACCCAGAGAGAGTCACTGCACCATGACACCCCCTTGCCTAGCACGCAGGGCCAGGCAGGGGAGGGCTCCTGCAGCCTGACAGCAGCAGCCAGCACCTGCGCGTGGAGGCAGCTCCCTGAAAGTTTGCCTTTACTCTTTAGGTCCCTAGCTTCTAGGCCAGGAACACAGTGTGATGAAGGAGATGATGCTTCAGGCAGGTACCTGCTCTCTTGGAGTTACTGATCCCCATGAGGAAGATGTTGAGGAACCACTCCAGTGAGTACTGGTACATGGGGTCCACGTTGGACAGGTCTGAGACACAGAAGTAGAGGATCTGTGTGCGGACAGCGACAGGCGCGTACTGCAAGCGTGTGGTGTTGATGTCCTGCTCTGTCTGCTCTGCCACCTTCACCTTGGCCTGAGGGACACAAGAGACATCGTGGTTTGTGCAGTGCTGGCAGGGGATGTGCAGCTGCAGGGGAAAAGCACCTCTATCTCCTACCTGGATCTCCCCTGCCTTGAGCTTGGATGCTTCCAGCACTTTGATGAGCTCCAAGTCATCTACAGGGTTTCCTTCAGAAGTGCTGAGCCGATACAGGATCTGGTCTTCTATCTCCTTCAGCTCCTGATGCATCTCAGCATTGCTAAGAATCAGCTGGTTTCGAGCCTCTTCCAAGTCAGGCCGCTCCTCAGCCACCACTTGTCCCAGCAGCTGGTCTTCCAAGCCACTGCAACAAAAGCCACAGGGACGAGGGTAGGGACAACAAGCCCAAAGGCTTGAGGACAGTGAGGAATGAGGCTGAGCAGCTACTGGAGTAAGCACGTACCTGGGCGAGAGGGTGAAGTTGATGAGGGTGAGCTTCGTGGAAACTTCAGGACTGTAATGAGGGTTTGGCAGGTTGGTGGTGATGTAGAGCTTGAAATCCTCGTGGTAAGGGATCACCGTATCCCCCAGCTTCAGCACTGTGTTGCCTTGCTGTTTGTAGGTCTGTGTCAGAGAGACAAAGGCAGAAGGGCTGGGACACCTACTTCTGGTGAGGGAAGGCACCTCATTGTGTCCTGGGCTCTGCGATGAGGAGAGAGCCCGAAGAGATGGGCAGAGGAGACCTGCAAACCCGCCGAGTCCCACTACACCCAGGGCAGGAACCCCCTTTCCAACCTGGCCCCCACAGTCGCCCCTCACCACCGCAAGACAAAGAACCTGTTTCAGCAAGACGGGCTCGAGGGCTGGATCCAGCTCCTCGCCGACATTCTCCAGCAGGAAAGGCTTCCCAAAAGTAATGGCTTTTTCCAGACTGCAGAGAAAGTCCCGGTCGCTCAGCTTGGCCACCTCCAGGCTGTTCACCTTCTCCTGAAAAGCAGCAGGAGCAGGCAGGGATGGAGAGGAGCATAGAGCTGTGCAGGTGTTGATGATAAGGGCTCTGTTCCCACCATGCTGAGGAGATGAAGGGTGTATGGAGGCAATGGCACACCTGGGTCCTAACTTTCAGACCAGGCCTGCAGCCTGTTTGCTGATGGGATGTTTGCTCAGGTGTGAGGCTAAGGCTTAGTCAACCAAGGGCATCTAATCCCATTTCTGCTGTGCCTTGCCCATCCTTCACATGCACTGTACACCTCTTGCTGGGCAGATTTAACTCCCCAAAGCAGCAGAAATTACACATCTTGCTCAGTTACTTTTTTTTTTTTGCAATTTTGGCAAGTTTAGCCCACTCACAAGACATCACCAGACATTACACACAGCCCAGCTGGGCAGCAGAAACGTGGGAGCGGGGGCTCAGGAAAGACTTCTTCAGGCAGCTCTGCCTCTGCAGAGCCCTGTACTGGCAACTCACACTTCATTTGTCCGCAAAGTGAGAGCAGGTGGGTGGGAAAAGCCCATGGGGGAGCACAAGGGGAGCAGCTGTCAGGCTTCCTCCTAGCCCTTTAAAAGGGCAGTGGGCTGCCCTCTGGAGGGAGAGAAGAGATAGTGGCTTGTGCTCCCAGCACTCTGGCAGCAGGTATTGTGCTCGTGAGTTGGGTAATAGCACCCTGAGCCCTCTGTCCTTGAGGCTTTATAGGCTGTTATGGGTCATGCTAGTGTTGTTCTGTCTTAGGGTAATGGTGAAGAGTGTAAGGTTCCCAGAATCAGAGGCCTCACTTGCTTATAAAAGCCCAACCCTGCTTCCCTGTGCTGATTTCCCTAAGCAGGGAAATTCAGCTGGGATGAATGCAGTCCCTGCCTGGTATGGGAAGGGCCAGGCTGGGGCAGTAGTTGGGGTGCTTGCAGCTCTGCAGCACAAGACCTGAGGCTGCTCTGCACAGCTCCTAACAGAAAGCTGCTTCTCCACTTCTGCAGACTTGGCTCTCTGCCCCACAGCTCTTACCAGGTTCTTGATCCACTTGTTTGCTTGTCCTTGGGGATCTATGTAGTGAGTCCAGCGCTGGGAGAACTGGGTTATTACCCCGTTCTCCACAGACAGGGTGTCGTTGGGTAAGCCAGCAATCTGTTTGGGAAGAAAAGTCTGTTTGCTGGGAATGTTTTGAAATGTGATATAACTCATATAATATTTCAGATGCTAACTGGCCTGTTCTCCTTTTAATGTGTGTGCCTGCTGTGAGTGTGTTGGATCAATTCTTGGGCCCAAATTCAGGGAGTCCCAAGCATTTGGGCTCTATTTAGTCATCCAGGATGGTAGCTGTGATATGTAATAGGGCCTATCCTGAGAAACTCTTACTACCTGTGTGGTAATGCTTATGGCTGGGTGGGGGATGATGGTGAGGGTACTACAGAGATGCAGTTCTGCCTGAAAAGGGGCTGAGCCACAGGACAGAGCCATGCTTGTGGAGTTAGGCGTAGGCAGGCTTATGGCCAGGGCTTTGTTCTAATGGCGCACTACATAAAGCATAAACCCAGTGCGCTGAGGTGTGTGATGCCCCCAGAGCTGCTGCTGCTGCCCTGGATGCTGTTGGTCCTCTCCTGCTCGTTGTACAGGGAGCCCTGGCAGCAATTGTTGAGCTGTTTGGTTTGGAGTCTCTCCTCTGGTACAGTAGTTCCCAGTGAATTGCACGCTGAGTGTTTTAACCTTTGCTTGAGGCAGACCTATCCCCGCATCTTCAGTCTGGGGGGTGTTGTCTTTTCTGCAACTTACCTGCCAGGAGCGGATTTCCACGGGGTCTCCGAGTGTGCTGATCAGGTTTGGTTCCTTGGTGTGAGGAATGTTGTTTTCTGAGAATTGGCTTAGCCACTCCTTGCACAGCGCTACGCGGTAGTGTCCCTGCCACAAGAAGCACAATCAGAGCCGTTCTTTTAGTAGCAGCTATTATACTGTGTGCATCTCAGTCTCCTGTTTCTGTTCAAGTATAATTCTGTGTAGCCTCCCGTACGAATGGAGAGATCCAGGAGGGATACTCCATCCTTTTGCCAGATTCTGTGTGCCCTGCTTGAAGGCATTATGGTGTTACAGGTTTGCCCTTGCTCAGAGCACACAGTGAGGTGTTAACAGACCTCCTGGGCAACGAGGTTACCAGAGGGGCAGGGAAGTGCACCAGGTTGCACCCTGCTTTAGGGTTAAGAGCTGATGGAATGTGACCTGCAGCCTATTTGGCCAGGAAAGCAGAGTGGCTATTGAGCCCCTCACAGGAAGCCCTGCACACTTACTGTGAAGGGGCCCAGGTAGGCAACAAAGCCAGCTGCAACCAGCACGTCCCCAGCGATGTTGTTGATCTTGTAATCCAGGTTCTCCACGGTGTCCTGCCAGCGCACCTTTTCATCAGCCAGGTTGTTTATAAGCTGTGGGATAAGTTACGTGGGTGAGAGCTGCTTGGTCCTGGACCTGCTAATCTCTGGGTAATACTGCAGGTGACTTTAGGGACCAGAGGTGCCTACGTATCCTAAATTCTGTCTCCAGCTTCAAGCACTTTGTCCTGGGTGTACTGGGATGCTCTTGGCCCTGTTGCTAGTTAAGAAAGCTGTGGCATGGAGAAGCTTAGCTTCACCAGCCCTAATGTGCTGCTGAGATCTGGCCAGCCAGCTCCAACCTAGTATTGCCATGACTCGCAGGCTGTTGGAAGTGGCAGGCACAGGGGTTTCAGCACTGTGCTCCTTGGCCTGAAATCCTGCTGTCTCCTGTAAAAGCAGGAAGAACCCGGTTCTGCCCCCTACCGTATCAGCACGGTCCAGTCTCTGCTGACACTGCTCACACTTCATCTCCAGCTCCTCCTTCTTGGCTATACAACTCTTGTACTTGGCTTGCAGCATGGCAATACCACTTTCAACATCCCTCAGGCGTTCCTTAGCTTCCTCAAGGACCTGCTGAGTGGCACGCAGGTCCTCTTCTGCCTCCCGCCAGGCTTGCTGAGGAGATAACACAAGCAGACAGTGGATATGCTGAGCATGTGGCCAGGCTCTTCCCCAGAAAGCCAGAGATCTTAGAGCAGAAGCTGGTTTGGGGAAGATTTTTTTTTTTTTTTTCCCATAAGGGCACTAGCTGGAACTGAGATCCTTCCCTGTATAACAAAGGCTGACCTGCTGAACTCCAATGTCAGGTTCTGTAAGCCCAGAAATAAGGACAGGTGTGAGGAAGGCTTTTCTGTATAGCTCCAAAAGAATAGCAGCCTGTGCGAGCCTACACAAGTTTGGGATGTGGCCCGCTGTTGAACAGAAGGAAAGGTCCCTCTGCTTGCCCCAAAATAACACTCCAAACATTAGGCTTGGAGAGAATTAAGGCTGAAGCACAATATGGGAATGACTCTGGAAGCACAGTATTAACCCCGTTTCAACGTGTCCTAAGCTGAATTCATTAAGCTAATGGGCTTTTGGGACTAGTGGCTCTGCCAGGGCTTGATCTGGGTGTAAGCCCTGACTTGCACTGCACAGCTGGTAACTCTCAGCACTGCCTGCAGGAGGGGACTGCTAGTCCTGCATTCCCTAACCCCAAGAGCAACCCAGCCTGTTGTCTCTTACCCGCTTGGGCTCCACGACCTTGGCCACAAAGTGGTACTTGTGCATGGCACGCACCCACTGGCAGATGGAGGTGCAAGCTTTGGACACCTTGGCGATGGCAGCTGGCTGAAAGTCCTTACTGTCGATGTATGGCTGGATGGCCTTGATTACGGCATCTGAAATGTTGTCCTGTGAGGAACGGAGGGAGAAAAAGGAGACTGGAGATGAAGGTGCCAGAGATCTGACTGAGGGAGGTTAGAAAAGGCTTCTTGCACTGACTGCAGCCTGGTGCAGGACCTGTCAGGGTGGTTTAGGCATCATGCTGGAGTGAGAATCACACTGCTGTGTGCTGAGGCCAGGGAGACACTACTGTAGGGTTGGGAAAATACCTTCCCATCCCATGTCAGGATTTCTGTCCAGCTCCTCCAAGCAGGAAGAGCAGAGGGAGAGGAGGGGAGGACCTGTGTCTGGGTCCCACTGCCCAAATTCATGAAGAGCAGCCAGCTGTCATGAGGACTTCCAGACCAAATACATCCCCAGTGCTGCTGAAGGGTGTTGTCTGGAAGGAGCTCTAAGCCTCGTTGTTGAGAGAAGGAGCTGTGTAAGGCAATGCCTGATCTCTAGTCACAGATTCCCTGTGTCACCACTTACCTTATCATACTTAAATAGGCTATCCAAGAACTTCCCAGGGTCCTGAAGAAGGGCCCTGCCTGGCTCCCAGTAATCATCCACCTTGGAGCCCAGTTTTTCTCCCGCCACTTTCTTGGGCTTGATTTCTTTCATGATGCAAACTGCTTCAATCACCATTTTCACGCCAAGGGGAGGCCGCTGCATTGCTCGTACCTTAAATCCAAACAAAGACAATGGGTTGGCCTGGTCCCCAGTGAGATAGAGTGCTTAGCCTCCTCTGGACCAGAGGAAGGACACCTAGAGGATGCAGGCAGGAGAGGTATCAGAAGAAAGCGCTGATTATCAGAAAGGGCACATAGAAAATTGTGAGTAAGCTGAAAAAGCCTGTCCCAGTGCTCTGTGATGGGTATCTACAGGATGCAGGTGTCTTAGTAAAGAAGCCAGAGCTGTACAGCCCTGGGAGGGGGGCAGTACAGACACAGGGCATGGGCAAGCTTTCTCCCTTGCTCTGAGGGCTCTTGTTTGTCTTGTATCCCACCCTGGAAATGCTGCAGGCCCTGCGCCCCGTGGTCTGCAGCAGTTGTGGAGAGACTAATGGAGTCTTTCCTCAATCAGACTGGTAGGAGTGCTGCTAGAGAACCTTTGAGATGGATGTGGGAAGAATAACTCCAGCTTTGTCCCTTCTAGTGTTGGCCACCTTGCCATGTTCAGCCAGAGATGCTCCCAGACCTTCCCGGGCACAGTCAACAAAGGAGCAGAGTTTGTGAAGACCCTTCAGCTGGTCTACCCCCAGGCAGAAACCCTTTGTCAGAGTGACTTTGACTGGCTCTTTGACTGCCCCGAGACAGAGCAGTTCCTTGAGTGGTTCTGCAAAACAGTGGGTGAGGAGAACGTGCTGAGCCCAGCTGAGGTGCAGGCCTACGATGCTCTGGTGGCTGCAGGCAAGCCCATCCTGGAAGGTGATGAACTTGAGCAGGCATTGCAGAAGTGCCACCGTGTCCCACAGCTCCCACGTGTGATACCAGAGGCTGAGGGACCCTCTGCAGAGGCCCTGGAGCAGGAGATCCAGGAGCTGAAGGACTATCGTGCGCGTCAGCTCTGGCGGCACAACAAGCTGCAGGTTTGGGCAGCCCGTCTGCAGCAGGAGCTGAGCTATTTGCAGGAGGAGGAGAAGGTGATGAAGTGGACCTTGAGGAAGGCTCAAGCGGACCTGGAAAGGGAGGTTTTCCAAGCCACTGCTGTTGTGAACCAGATTAACAAGGTTGCAAAGCAGCTGGTGAATTGGCACGGGGAAGTGGGCAAAGACCGGTCACCAGTGATGCTGTACGAGATGGACCTCAGTCCTTACATCAAGCTGGAGCAACATTCAGCAGATATGTTTGAGCAGTTATTCCAGCAGGTCCTGACAGGGACTGCCCAGGCTCCTGATGCTCAGGGGGCAGATGTGCGGAGAGAGAGCAGTCTGCAGGAAAGGCTGGAGGCTTGGGGAGAGATGGACTTAGCCTGGGAAATTCTGGAAGGAAGACAAGTAGCTCTTTGTCCAGAGTGTGCAGAGACACAGCAGGTGGCAGCAGAAGAAAGCCAAGAAATAATAGTCCAAGGCTCAAGGGCAGAACTGCTAGCAGAGGGGAGCAGTGGGAGTGAGATGCCGAGTACGGGGGATGCGGTGAAGAGAGGTGGCAGCCAAAAAGCCCCAGAGAGAAGAGACACCAAGCAAACAACGGTGGTGAAAAGCCTCGAGACCAATGGAGATGAGCTATCAGGGAACCAACGCAGTTACAGGAAGGAGCTGAGAGAAATAGAGCAAGCATATATCTGTGCCCAGAGGGAGGTTATAACCATGACGGCCAAAGTGGAAGGCCACAGCGCTGCGCTGCAGTGGGCCCAGAAGACTCTGAAAGCTATCAAGGAGAACAAGGTAGGGTGGGTGCTCCTTCCCAACCACACTCATTGTGCTGTGACTGTGCTGCAGCAGTCCTCCCACCAGATGCTGGAGCACTGCAGGTGTATGGAGCCTGTGGCTGGGCCAGGCAGCGTTAGCAGCGTGCCCTGACACTGCTCCCTCATCTTCCCTCACACAGCGTGCAGTAGAGGCCCATCTCCAGAGCCAAGCCAGCATGTTCCAGGAGCAGATTCATGCCCTGCGCTCCGACATCGAGCACATCCACACCCAGCAGCTGCTGCCCCTGCTGAAGGCAGGAGCCTGCCTCTTTCTCCTGCCCGTCCTGCAGGCGCAGCTCAACCTGGAAACTGCTCACCTGCAGGATATTGCCCAGAGGCAAGAGGAGGCAGCGGCGTGGCTGGCGAGCCAGCACAGCCGCCTGGATCTGTTGGGGCTCCAGCTGAAGCGGGAGAGAAAGGAACTGGACCAGAAGGCTGCTTGGCTGAGAGAGATGGAAACTCTCCTGAAGGATGCCCAGACCAGGCTGCAGGAGTATCATGACTATTTCAAAGAGGCAGACTCCTCCATGAAGGGTTGTGCACGCGCACAGACAGAGCCCAAGGACCTCACCACCATGCGGTAAGGACCTGGATATGTGTGTGCATGGGGAACAAACTAAATGTGGAGGAGGTGGCATGGGAACAGGGAGGGCATCTGGCTTGATACAAGCTACCAGGTAGTGCTCTGCTACCAGTGCGGGCCACTCTGACCTCTTGGTGGTATGAAATTCCCCAGGAGATGGTATCCATTTCTTCCTGTCTGTCTTAGGGTGATTTTACTAATGTAGGCTTGAAGAAGGGAAAGAGCATGGAGAAAAGAAGCTTTCCTAGGATGAAATGTAGAGGCTCATCTTCAGGCATGAAGAGGATGAGATGTGCCAGTGGGAAGCAGAAGCTGCTTGGAATTCCTCTGGCAATGCAAAAGCTTTCTGTGGTTGGATGCCCTGCCCTGATAGGGGATTCCCAGTCCTTCCTGCACAGCTCTGCAGTGCCTGGTGTTGGTATCTGCCAGCAAGGAGTCCCTGACTATAAAGGCTCAGCTCTTGAGCTTGGCAATTGTCCTCTATGGTGCTCTTTCCAAATCCTTGGATCATGGGCTGCTCTTAAGGAGTGGCTGTCCTCTCACTCTCATGTCATGACCACTGGCATCCCACTCCCATCCCCCTGAGCCCTGTTTTTCCTTGGTGCTGGCAGATGCTCACACCTCTGGCTGGCTGTCCCCTCCTGCAGGCTCTGGGACACGCTGGTGGGGCAAGATCAGGATGAGCCACCCTTCTGCAGCTATGAGGCCGTAGCAGCCCGCAGTTCCCAGTTGGTCAAGGATTGGAGGGTACTGGAAACACAGCTGGCAGCTCCTATGGCCCAGCTCCCTGCCCTGGAGGCTGCCATCGAGAAGCTCTACCGGCTGCTGTACAACAACTCCAACCAGCTGCAGCTTTGCTCTCCAGTAAGCAAGGACCTCTGGTTACCTTCTGTTCTTTTGGGGTGGCACAGGGCTGCAAGTCACAGCTGTCTGTGCCATCCTCCTGGGCTCACGTGGGTGGGTACTTGCTGCATCTCACCCTACTAAGGGGGAAGAGGTTGTCCTGATCCTTTCCATGTACTGAAAGCTACACAGCGAGGCAGTGGCTGAGGTGGTGGAGAGTGATTGTCATTGCATGGGCTCTTAACTATAGAGATTAAGGTGACAAGGTGGCCAAGTAAGCCGCATTGTTCAGAGAGACCTTGACCTGGATATAGGTGGAGGTGAGGGTCAGGCAGGTAGCTTGTTTCTGGTGGGATGAGATGTTCCAAGGGTGGGAAGAAATCCCTTCTGTGCATTCAGATGTATTTGGGTTCTGCCCCCCAGGAGACCACTGAAGTGATGCACCAGCTGACTGCTATGCAGGACACACTCTACCAGAAGCTGGCAGACCTCCTGAGTGACTTGAAGGTCAAGCGCAGTTCTCTGCAGAACCCTATCCTGCAGGCAGAGCGCAACCTCTACGTTTATTTTTTCTGCAATGAGGATCGGCTGAGAGAGGTGGTGGAGAAGCTGGAGAAGGAAGCGTTGGATTCCTCCAAGAGGCTGCTGATGGAGCCGCCCAACACAAAAGAGTAGGCCAAATGGTGCTTTCTCCTTGGGGGTGGTGTTCTCTTCTTGTTGGGCTGAGCCATAAATCTTGGACTGGGAGAGATCCCTGGTGGTCCTGGCTTTACTGGCAGGTTGTGGTGCAGCAGCTAGGCTTAAGATAAGCATGGAGCTTAACCCTTAAATGAGTTTTCCTGAAACCAATGGGTGGGTTTTATGTGTAAGAAATTGAAGCATCTTGTGAGTTGGTATTGGAAGCCTTGAATCATTATGAGACTTTCCACGCCAGCTCTATAAGAGGGTTGGTGCTGGGGGGCAAGTGGCCTGCCACTGTGTCTTTCCCCACCTTCATGGGGTAAAGTTGTACATGTTTTGTGGGGAATAAAAGTCTGTTATTCACACTTGCAGAGCAATAAGCCTGTTGTTCTCCTTCAGAGCTGTCATACCCTATGCAGTGAAAACTCATACCTTTTATCTACCAGCACCACCCCTTGCTGGTGACTGTATTTGCAGCTGACAGTTGTTGAGATTTCTCTAGGCTATGGGTACAGACTTTGCCACTTCCCACTGCAGGCTCAGGACCACCTTCTTTTCTCTGACCATCCCATTTCAAGCCAGATTTCCTTGAAGTCAGTTCCCTGGCCCTTGCCTCTTTCTCTTTCCTGGTGGTGGATCCCCTTTCTAAAGAGCTTGCTGGCTCAGTGTGCTGCTAGATCTATATCCATGCCATGCAGTCAACACTCAGGGCTGCATCATAGCATGGCCTGCCACTTACCCCCATGGACAAGGACAGCCCTGCAACCGACTACAATTTGACTTTCTCTATAAGACAGGGAAGTGAAAAAGATGTGGCTGGTGAAGGATGTGCAGATAGACAAGCAGCCCACTGCATGAGCCCAGGGGAAAGGATGAAGATGCTGAAAAAGACTGTGGATACTGCAAGCTTATAGAAGAGGGCTTGCTGCAAAGTACTGTTGAGATCAGCTACAGCAATAGCAAGCTAAGTGCTGTGCCTTGCCAGCCTTGATACACCTCAGAGATGCCCTCCATGACCACAAGCACCTCTATTACCCCTCCATCCCCCAGTCAGTTACCTCTGTAACATCATTTTTGTTCAGCTTCCTCAGGCTGGCCAGAGCAGCATCTAGGGCTGGGAGGGCTTCTGCCAGGTCCTTCTGAGCATCATCTGCAATGGCTTGGGCTTTCTGGGCTTTTTTTTTGGCCTTTGTCTCCTCAGCCTGCACAGCATTTCTTGTCTCTTCGGCCACAGCTGTGTCTACCTGCAGCAGCAAAGACAACCTCAGAAGCATGGCTGGAGACAGCACCTATTTGGTGCTCTGCATTGCTAGGTAAGAATCACTGCTGTCCTGTCAAGCAATGTTTTCTTCCCTCAGGCACATGCTGAGGCCTAGCTGCTCCAATCTCCAGCAGGAGATTGTAGAGATGATCCATAAGCTCCAGCTCTGCCTGCCCTGGAACAGTGTTAGCCCTGCAGGAATTATCTGCTCTACCCATTTCTCCTGTTAGCATAGGGAGCGGATGTGACAGCAAGTGCATAGGGATATAGAGGAACAGGAAGACATGCTGAGGCTTTTGTTTCCTGTAACTGTCACTTTTGCCTGCCCTTAAGGATTAAAACACTACCAGGAGGTGCAGAGGGATGTGGAGTATAGCCAAACCTTATTCTGTGAGTGGATCAGGCCACCTCTGGGAAGCATGAGAGATGAGAAAGTGAGGACTTGTGTGTGCCCCCCAGAGTTGCATGGTGTTTGTGTCTCAATCTGACCATTTTATAGTGGGAGATGGGCAGGGAGGAACATGAGGAAGGAAGATAGTGAGAGCCCACAGAGGACAGTTCCCTTTTTCTGCAGTGGTATGAGTGGCTCTGTGATGGTCCCTGAGCTTTGGGCTGGCAGGAGCAGGCTGTAGCTGGATCAGCTCCCTGATGGGATGCATAGAAAGGAGACCCTGCAGAGGCAGCAGTCTGGTCTTAGAGCTGCTCAGGCCACCTTGGGACTGAGTTAGTAGTAGTCTGTGTCTGTGAAGAGCTAAAACAGTTAGGAAAAGAAGCTGGTAGCTTGATTTCCTGCTCCTCTAAGCTGTGGTTTCATAGGTTTCATACAGGAGCACATGAACCATTGCTTCTGCTGGGAGGCTGTGACTGGTACCCACCAACAGCAGGACAGGGTCCTTAGCAGAAGGCTATCCTCCCTGGTAGTGCTGTTCTGCACAAATAACCTGCTGTACTAATCTTGGACCCTTAAGCTTTCAGATCAAGCAGGACTTGATGCAATCCCTGCAAGGCCTTCCCACGTGCTGTGCAAACCTGAGCAGCCAGGTGTGGCAATAGCAGGGCTGTCCAGCAGCACTACCTGCAGCTCTTCCATAGTCGCCAGCGTGTCCTTGGCTGCCTGCGCCAGGAGAGGGCGGGCGGACTCCAGCTCCTCCTGCATCTTTGCTACATCCTCTGCTGTTTGTTGGAGCTGCAGGAGCAGAACAGAGTGAGAGCCCCAGGGAAGGTCTGTGCTGCCCTGGTGGGTGCTCTGTGGGAGGCATCTCACTGCATCCCTGCAGCTTTAACCACTGCTCAGAGCAGTGGCTGTGAGGCACAAACCTTGTCCAGGCCACTTCTCATCTTCTTCTGGGCTGCCCTCAGCTCCTGTTCCTTCTTTCCAATCAGGGAACTGAAGATGCTGAGGAAATCAAGGTAGCTCTTGGGAGTGACATAATTGTGTCTGGCCAGCTCCGCCAGGTACACTTGGCACATCCTTGCTACGCTCTGATGAATTTCTACACACATTTGAATCTACAAGGAGAAAGGAAAGAAACAATCTTATCCAGAACTGCATGTTAGGCAGGCCTATGAGGTGCCCATAGAGAGCCCAGGGCTAGGATTACAGAGTTTAAGTACGCATTCACAGCATAGCTAGTATATGCATGCGGGCTTCAGTGACATGAAGCAGGTAAGAAATGAATGTGGCCATTTCAAGGCATACAAAAGGTAACTGATTCTGGATTTGAGTGAAGCAATTAGGAAACATTACTACTACAGCAGAGGACTTTTCTGCATGCATCTTGCAGCTGTTGCCTGTCTGTGTACATATGGAGAGGTAGCACATGAGCATACAGGAGCTGTGCTTTGTGTGTTGAGTGTAGCACTTACCATCCCATTAACAACTTCAGCGCTGGCACCAAGATGTGGGATCTCCTGCAAGAAGGAGGCAGCAACACACTGCAGAGCTTCGGCAGGCCACTCATTAAACCAGTCAATGGTACAGCAGTTCACAAGAGAGGGGAACTGTCTCAAGCGTGCACGGAAGACTTCTCCAATAGGGCTGGGTGGAAAGGCATGCCAAAAAAAAGTTACAACTAGCTACAGATAAAAAGATAAAGTAGTTTTCCTACTAACCTAGAGCTATTCTGATGTCTTACAGCATAAGAAGGAAGGGGATATATGTGGGGAGGGAGGGAGGGAAATAGGGAATGGAAGTTTAGGCAGTATTCTACCCTGTCTACCATCCGCAGATAACTTCTTGGAAGCCCTGGGTATATTCTGGAAGGATTAAGATGGTGGGGTGATGTTTTCTAGGTCCCTGCCTAGGGAGAATACTCAGGAGATAAGATATAAAACAAGATTTGAAGTCCATGTCAAGAGATGGACTGTAGACATTGCATCACCACACCAAAATAATGGCCCTGATTCTTCTCCATGTACGTGTGCGGAGACCACTCCGTATTTTCATGCAGCTCTTCTGCAAGCAAGCAAACTGCTAATGGTCTATACACTGCATTCATGATTAAATACAGTGCAACTGAACCCCAAATTTAAACAAGGTAGTTCTGTAGCAAGCACCTCAGTGGCACATGAATGAAGGAGGAAGCTTATATTTAATCTGAATCACATACAATCATATTCTTAAACTTATCAAGCTTCACCTTAAAAATCAGAAAAATATATATATTAAAAAGTATCTACTCCTAGAGGAAAGTGGTATGCAAATATGACTCCTCCTCTAAAGTCAGAGGCTGAGAAATAAAGCTCCCCTGACAGAGAGTGATGGAAGACAGAGAACAACAAGGGAATAATTAACATTGGCAGCATAGAGTTCTACCCTTGAGCTATACCTCATGCACAGAACGATGTGGATATTGCTGCGAACCCGTCCTGTGTACGCAGCCATCAGATTGGCCTTGGTGGGCTGCTGCCCTAGTTCTCGCACAACAGGCTTCATAGCTGTCATGATCTGTTCTTGATCATCAGGGCTGTAAATGTTGGGAACGTCACCTGAGTTGAGCAGGTTGTTGATGTCTTCAAGGAAGGATTCATTTTTAATCTAAGTAGATAAGAGGGAAAGAGAAAGCAGTTTCCTAAGTCATCAGAGAGTCAGGTTTCCACGTGTCATGTAGATTACTTGTGGATAAATACAGCCCTCAGCCTCTGCTAGAAGAAATAATTTCTGCAGTCACTGGGCTCCAGTAAAGCATACTCTGTCTCACGGCCAGGATTTACAATCGAACTGCCATGTTCAGCCATTTCAGGGATGGGGTGTCTGGGAACAAGTCTTCCTTCTGCTCATTCACCTTTTTCTTACAGATAAATAGCATTCAGGGTCTAGCTCCCTGCCTCATCACAGTGACTCTGTAAGCAGGCCCCAGCTGACTGTCTGTTCTAGGTATTCCTCCAGCACAGCAGAATGCTTTGCCATTAGGATAAAGCTCATTGGTACAGGAGGCAGAGTAATTGTAGGGACGTGTCAGACCGTGGGATGATTCCCCCTCCAAAGGTACACTTGCCTCCCTGTCTTTGCTAAATCAGTCGTACGCAGTATCCATCTACTTGTCTAAATGTACCCTCCAATGCCCCCCCCAACCTTCGCCCACATATGCTTCTCCCTGCAGGGAAAAGGATGAGCGAACAAGTATTTGACAGATGCTTATCTCACTGCTTAGGGCACTGCCAGAAGCAACCTGGTTCCTATGATAATGAAGACAGTATAAAAGCCTATTGGGAGCACAACCATGAGCTCCAGAAGTTGGCTTAGTCATTAGGAAGCGACTCTTTACAGTAACAAGCCAATGTTATCCTGGATCAAGCTCCTCAACCCTCTTCAGGGGGATTTCTTGAACTTAGAGATATATTCCTGACTCCTCATGAGAAGGAATCAACCATGTTAACACTCCCATACCTGTGTGTCTACAAATAGGAAGGTCTTGGGTAGACTTTCAAGGCCTGCCTTCATCATGATCTTCTTTATGTCATCTCGCCATTCGGTCATGTCGTAATTTTTGGACAATTCTATCTGGAAACACTCATAATCTGCCCTAAACGAAAGAGAAGTTACATCCAGTGGAAGTCTCCTCTTTTGTCAATCCTGAGCATATCATGGACACAGAGAAGACTTAACCACATTGTTTT